TAAATTAAAATGCTCGTACAGGAAGGAAATTGTTGTTCACTCCAATACATGCATACAGTGCTGGATTGTGAATACTGTGACTATCACAGTGTAGCACAGCTCTTTGTCTGCAGCCCTTATTTTACAGGAGCTAAAAGAAATTACATCTGAAAAATCCACAGGCATCACACTATTTAAAGTATATATGTTGGTGCAAGGAAGTGATATTACTAAATGCTGCAGTGCTCATGAAACAAATATACTTTTCTCTTGTAACAGATGTTCCCTATAAAATTTCCTTAGAGAGATTAAATACAGCTTTGTTTGTATACCTACAGTCACACCCTCAAGGACTATGGCATGTACAGAGAGAAGACTGCTTTTTCTAGCAGGGTGTACTTCTCCTTTCAGAAAATTTAAAAAAAATCCGTTCTGTAGGAAGTATTTGCAAGTAACAGCTCCATTTCCAGGCCTGTGCATATTCCAGCTAATGTGGACTGAAAATCTTCTCTGCCTGTTCCCCAGCATTATTAGATACAAGTAAAAGATCCTGATGGATCAATACACTCCCATCCTGGCATGTCTGATTTGGAAGTGCAGATTTCCAAATGGTGGTACATCACCTCTGGGACAACATATCTGAAGCAGAAAGCACTCTTTTTGGTTTGACAAAGTGTATCCAAATGTCCCTATTTCCATCAGAATAGATGTTAATAACTTCAGGCCTGAACATTCGATCCTCCCTCACCAGAAAATTACAATTAACTTTAGCAGAAGCCCTGCTTCTTTTGGCCTGCAGTATACTCTGCATATAAATGTGAGCTGTACCCAGGATTGCTCTTGTGTTCCATTAAGGTCAAATCCTGAAAAGCTTTTGAATGCTCAGTGTTTCTACAGGACATCGCATTTTATTGTGGTTTGCGTGAGTGTCTTTTCATTTAAATGTTCATTAGCTCCATGTTTAAAAGTGTTCATTAAAATATCATTGTGCTGGTAATAATCTTAATGCTGAGGAGTGAAGAGGGCTGTGTTGCAATATAAATGCTGCCCCGTTTCCTGCTCTCAGGGTGTAACAGGAGAAAGAAAGACCATCTTGATAGGCACTATCTGCTGAAGGAAAACCAGGAGCTGTGAATTGACTTTAACCTTTTAGTGGCTACACTGCGAAGAAAATGTTTCAAGCTTCCTACCCGGAATTAGGCTTCTGTAATTTAAAATACTCAAAAATGCTGGCGGCCCCCATAATTACAGCTACCAATATCAGAAAACAGTTACAGAGGAACAAAGAAATGCAACTGGAAACATGGTTCAGTGGTCTTGTACTTCCCTGAAAAGCTGATTATACTTTTGGCTGATTCAGTTTCTTTCAGAGGGAATTTACCCTCTCTGGCAGTGTGAGTCTCAGCAGCACTGGTTGCACTAACGGCACAAAATCCTTCTGGGGATGAGGAAATGAGCTCGAGGTCCTGTGTGTGTCAAACTGAATTTTGCCCCGAGCTCTAGATTTTGTTTTTTAGCCCTTCAGAGCCCCTTATTTAGTCAGATTCAGAAGCCATTTTAACACTGGTTTAAAAATAGAGCCATTTCATTTGTGCTTTTGCAGGTGCCTTGCCCAATTCTCTGCTTTCCACGCTTTCCCTGCATGACTTATCTTTTAGGATAAGCACTAATGAAAGGTCAAGGTTATTCTGAAGTACCCAGCATAGGAGAGTTCTCTTCCTCCTAGATCCTTAAGCTGAACTTCGCACAATTACAACCGATACTGTGCTGAAAGGTAATTCTAACGAGGGGAAAGTACAAAATGACAAGCAGGAACCTTTGGCACTGTATAATGTCCCTGGTGATTTGTACTTAGTGCTTCTTCAAAACGCAGAAGCCATTTTACCACTCAGAGCCATGGCAGAAGTGAATTATTATTTTTTTTCGAGTGAGGCTCTGTAAATTAGGGCTGCAGAGCAAGGCTTGACACATCTGGCTCTCAGAAATGTGCCGTGTACTTTACATCCGAAGATAATTTCCTCGCCTGTGTGACACAGAAACCAAGCAGCGTGGATTCTTCCTCCCCCCTCTTTCGCCCGTCTGATTTTCAGATGGTAACACAAGGTCATGAAAAGCTCCGGCTTGGGCATACCTTGCCACCCATTTTTTTAAGGAAACCTGGGGACAAACCTGCTTGGTTTTGCCTCCTACATGGGCTGCGCTGGGAGAAGATGCTTCTGCATCCCTGGACGCGGTGCTGGGGGAGGAGAGCCCGGCGCTGCAGCGGGAGCCCCGCCGCCGCCGCCCGGCAGCGGCCGCAAAGATGTGTCAGAAACATCCCCCCGGCAAGATGTGGGTCCCTTCTCTGTACTCACTGCGGCTGCGAAGGCACCGGGGTTATCCTGAGGAGACTCCAGTCCCGGCTGCGGGGAGAGGGAGGGAGGAAAGGGAGGGAAAAAGAGAAAAGAGGATTAAGAAAAAAAAAAAAAAAAAAAAAGGAAGAAGAAGGAGGAAAAAAAAAAAAAAAGGCGCAGTGCAAGTTGCGGCGGGCGGGAGGCGTGGGGGTGTCCGGGCTCCCCGCAGCCCCGCAGCGCTGCGCGGCCGCCCCGGGCCTGGCGGCGGGGGCCGGGGCGAAGCGGAGCGGCGGCGGCGCCCGCGGAGGAAACTAAATAAATAAAATCAGACTGTTATTTAAGGCGCGTAAATTTAAAATTATTTGGACAGGAAGAGCAAGGGGAGCGGAGCCGCAGGAGCCAAACTAACGGTTTCGGAGCCCGGCGCGGCCCCCCCCTCCCCGCGGCCCCGCGCCCGGGGGGCCGCCCGACCTGCCCGCACCTCCGCCCGCACGACCCTCCCTCCTCCCCGGGGACCCCGGCAGAGCCCTCCGGGAGCACCGACATTTTGAATGCATGTGTGTGGTGGGGCAGGCTGTGCTGAGACCCGGTGAGAAATCTTTCTTTCTCTCGCTGTCCTTCTTTCTCCTGTTTTTCTTCCCAGCCCCCCCCCCCGCCAACCCCCGCCATGCACAGTATAACAGTCTCCGCAAGTAAACGCAGAAGCTTTCATCCCCTCGCTGTTTTTTTTCGAGGAAATTTCAGCCCTTTAGTCAGGAGATAATAATGTCTGGCTGCTTCTGGCTGCCCAGCGAATTCCCAGGTACATTTGTGGAAGAGACCCTTTTCTTTTTCTAAAAAACTAAAAAGTGGTAGTTTTCTACTGTGTTAACTCTTTCTTCATGTGAACAATGCAATGGCACTTCCTCCGGAGCTAATATCTTACCCCACCATGGAATAAAGCACTGATTCCATTCTTTCCCCCACACTGAAAGCTGGAAAGAAACTATTTTCCTGTACTTAAATGTGCAGTCGCTTATTGCCCTGGAGATTGAGCAGATTTCACCTTCAAATACCTTCTCATTTACTCTCCCCTGGGTAAGGGCACGACAGTGCCTGGGTCAGCCCTGCACCTCTCCCCCTCTCTCCCCAGCACCCACAGACCGGGTATTTCACCCTCCCACGGTGCTGCTGCCGAAGAGAAAACTCTCTTCGTTCCCTGTAGGATCCCTTTAGGATCTGGCCCTTTCCAAAAGGAATTCAGCAGCCCCCGCCGTTGTGCCGAGGACAATTTAGAAACAAAGGTCAAGTGTAACAGCTTTGCTCATCCGTGTAACCGAAATAGGGGAGAGGGCTCTTGCCCCACAGTTGTGTCCTCATGCAGCCTGGTCACTGTGAATCCTGGTACAGCTACATTTTATGCTCTATTTCTTCACATTTTTCTGTGCTTGCTGTGTTTGTTTCTATTTATACCTCTCATCTCGATACTACACTGTTTATTGCCGATTCCAGGGCTGCTGCAGGGCGATCTCTGCGCCTGCCTAGAGACTTACTTTGCAGTTGGTTTATGTCTCAGTAAACTCTCTCAAAAAATCTTTATTTCCATCTCACACGCTGCAGTTTTGCATCTAGGGGTAAATATTATTTTGACATTCTCACAAATATGCGAATTTGTGAAACTGGACTTTTTGATGTTGCCAGACTACTAGGAAAAAAACCCACAAAAGTAATTTCTTAAACTACACCCGATATTACAATCCTTTGTCGGTGTCAAGGTTCCCTATTAATGAGACTTGCTTTATATTATTTTGTCCTCGCTCTGTAAATATAAAACCTTCTGGAGGAAAGCCATCCCCCCAGCAGCCAGGCACATTTTGTCACTTCCAAACCCTGTGAGTGTAACTCGCCAGCTGATGTACTTCTTCGCATTCCCAGAGGCTCTTGGTAGAAACTATTAACTTCCTGGGATAACAGCAATTTTTGCTTTCAAAGTATCTAACGAGGAATTTCAATTTATAATCTTATTTCCGATAAATTGAAGGGGCTCACGGAGAGAAGGCAGCAGTAAAAGCAGATAAAACACACCTTTAAACCAGACTATCGCCCGTGACTCAGCCGCCGAGGCTCCGGGCATGGCCGGGGGGTGACTCGTCCTGGCTTCAGCCGTGGACTCCTGGCATGCAATAAAAGCCGCTATTTCTGACTAGGCGGGGCATATTTCTCGATAAAGCAGTTACTTTATTAAGCCACTGCTTAAACTTCGCCTTAGCGCAAATTAAATGCTGATGAAGCTCAAAACGGGTGTGGGATAAGCTTTTTTAGGAAGCACAGGTGAAAAAAAAAAAAAAAAAGCGAGAAGGTTGGGATATTACCTTTTGGCGTTCACCTCTGCTGTGGCAGTGAAGGGAAGAAATGCTGGTGGAAGCACGGAATTTCACTTTATGAGAGGAATGGAGAAGAAAAAGGCTCGGAGAGTCCTCCAGGACGTGAGGAAAGGAAGACAGAGAGCAACACAGAGCGATTTGGGTCACTTCACCTCGGGGACCTGTGGATTACGTTGCTCGGTTTAATATTTCAGTTGGTTTAGTGCTCTTTAGACTGGAACTTTGGGGGTTATTTCCCTAAGCACGCTTCCTACACGCCGTGCTGCTCCGATTAACGATCTCTAGGTTCCTTGTGAACAAAAATTATAATAAAAGAGCACAAAACTTCATATTTCACAGAGGTTTTTAATCAGAAAACACAGCAGTGTAACAGAGCTTATAATAAATGTGACAGACAGTTTCAGCAAATTACTTTTTACTTGGAAATATAGTAACTGATTTCGTGGGGCTAATTTTTTTAAGTTGAAAACTAAACTAAGGTACTCCCTCTGCTCTTTGAAGTGCTATTTAAAGTAGTATTCATTTTGTATTGATTAAAAACCTTCTATTTTGTGCAATTAAGTTTTAGACTATTCAAAATAAAGTACTTTAAACTGCCCATGTGTCCAACAAGTAGATCCTGTACAAATGTTAAAAGTTTCATAATAGACTTCCCAATATGTTGAGGCTGGAGAGGCAAATGAGTTTCAGTGTGGTGAATACTCTCAACTGTATTGCAATGGAAAATTTTCAATGGTTAAATCATGTTTTAGGTGCAAGCAATAACTTAACTTCACAAACATCAAACGTGCTGCTTCCTAAATGTCACTGTATGCAAGTATTCTTGTTTTGTGAGATGCATCTGTCATTAAAATAGTTTATTTACAGACGAAACAGAGTAGCTAGTGGAAAGCAAATATTACTGAAAGAACATGTAAACTGCACTCAGCACATGAAGTGACCAGAAATCTTGTATTGCAGCCCTCATGTCTTCTTGCCTCTGACAATGTTTCTCTGCTGCCTATTTTGAAACTAGAAAAAAACATCTTGTGCAGTGCACAGTAAACATGAACTACTAAACTGAGCTGTTTAAAACCTCTAGCAATCACAGAAACACCACTTATACTGTTTCTGATAACTAAATTCAAAACCAGATTGGCGAAAGTTTAAATACACAAAGAGGAAAAGTGTCATCTACATTTAGAAAGTAAGTGACCTACTTCTACAAGCTCTTGTTAGTGACAAAATACAGTTATTGCCTAAAGCATCTAAATGCCATCCATTGTCCTCGGGCCAAGCAACCTTTCATTTCCAGCTCTGCCTGTGCGGGGGTTGCAGGTGATCCCTTAAAAGGATGTTTTAATCCAAAGCAAGACTTCAGATTCTTGAGCCTGACCGAAGGGGGGTGGGGAAGAGAAGGGAGGGGTGCATTGAGAGGTGGGAGAAATCACAGTAAACTATTTACTCTTCTCAAAAGTCCAGCAACGTTAAGCATGTGAATAGTAGCTCTTGGATTAATGACTTCATAAGAATGACCTAAAATAAATTGCAAAACTTGATACTGGAAAACTAGATATGAACAACCAACATACACACGAATGAGTCTGTGAGTACTGAGTAAAGTGAAAGGTGTAAGAAACTGCTGGGAGCATGGACTTAAAACGGTTCTGTTATCTATAAACCCACTTCTGGAATTTCTTGAGACTTATACTACCAGCTGTTCAGAGAAAAAAAATAAAATAGGAGTAATGTGGCAACAAAAAAGGAGGCAAACACCCCAAGAAGTCGGCACGCTCTCACGTCCAAAGGAGACCCCATCCTAGCGGGGTTCAGTCCATGTTGGCAGGGAAGGAGCTGCTGGCCTCCAGGAGCTCCACCACGGCTGCTCTCCGGTACAGCTTGGCCAGGTCGTAGGCGGTGGCCCCCCTCTTGTTCTGGTGGCCCACCTTGCACTCGGAGCGCGCCAGCAGCAGCTCCACCACCCGCACGTGCCCCTCCTGGGCCGCCAAGTGCAAGGGCAGGTTGCCCTCGTTATCCTCAATGTTAACATCGGCTTTGAACTCCAGCAGAGTCTGCAAAGTGTCCAGAAACCCCTCCCTGGCTACGTCGTGGATGATAGCGAAGCCAGTACTGTCTTTCAGGTTGGGGTTCGCCCCCTTACTGAGCAGCCGCCGGGCGATTTCGGGGTTCCCGAGTTTCATCACCTACGAAAGAAAGAGGAGAGTTGGATAGCGCGGGGTGGGGGGTTTGCTGCAGCACTGCCTCACATCCTCACTTCTTATGCCTGCCTTTTGTCAGAGCTCAATTCTCATTTAAAGCAGACAGAAGAGCCCCGCTATAAAATTAATGACGCACCAGAACATCGAATTGTAATGTATTTGTTACTGAACTCAAAATTGAGAAAGATGTTATCACTGCGGTGGTCATAGCTTTCTGTCTCAGAGAGATAAATGTCTGAAATAGCATAAAATGGGGGTATAACAACTTCTTTTTTTTTTTTTCTAGTTAGGGTTAACTCAGTTTCTTAACTTACAAAAATTAAGTATAATTTGATTTTATTTGCATAAGCATTGAGACATCTCTGCATTACTGTTCAATCTCGTTAAACAGCAAATACAGGGTCTCTGAGGAACAGATATTTCACCTCAGCAACAGCAAATGTAGAATGTGTTTTTATAAGCTTTCAGGTGTTTACACTGTCTGTGCATTATCATAAAACAAATATTTGCACTGTACCATAGCTCTGTCTGTTAAGAAACATGAATGCTAGAAGAAATTTTTCTCCCCAATATTTGTGTTTCATTATGTCACCCAAAAAGGAAAAGTCAAAAGGAATGTTTCAAAGTCCCAGAAGTTTTCTTCTAAAATCAGTATATTATATTATACTTTCATAACCCCTCTATAAGTAAACTGTGGCTATGTTCTGTTGTTAAAAACATCCCTTAAAAAAATTCCAACAACAACAATAATTGGATTTTCTGTTTCTCTCAGGGAAAAAAAAAAAAGCTTCTTTCAATTTTCTCAATTGCACCATAAAACTATCATAATTAGAATGCAAGTCTCTCTTATTTGGAGCTTAACAGCTTACACCGATTTCCCCTCAATTCCTCATTTTTTGTTTGCACAAAGACTTTCCAAAAATGAACACCATAATGTATAATCTCCAGCCTATAGGCAATATTTTCCTGTCCTTGTAACTAGTCTCATTGTTAGTGTCAAATTCGAAAAAAAAAACACCTCAAACCTCTTTTATTTCCTTAGAGAGGTTCACACACTGATTAGAAAATCTCGATTAAAAAAAAAATCAGCATGAACGAGCATTACAGTGCATTATATTTAACATAAAGTACAACTCCTACAGGGGATCTGCTGAAAAACTCCCCTGGTGAAAAATATATATTAAGTCTTTTTACGGAAAACAAGCTATAATAAATATAATTATATACAGCATTTGGACTGTAAAGCAGCCCAGTATATTATAACCACAGACAGGAGCAAAAGTGCAGATAAGACAGGCTGGGATTCAGGGAAAGAGATCTCTCTGTGCCCCAAGGCTTCCAGCCACTTCTTTCACTTCTGACGAGAGATGGAAGCAATGTAAAAGAAAACAAGAGCATTGTGATCTCTCTTTGTTTAGTAAAATCCGGACATTTTGATCTCTTTTTGAGAGCCCAGGCTGTATTATTTGTGAATTGAAAACATATATTTGGTTTAAGTGGGAGTTTTCTGTGTTCAGGCTAGGGGGACTTAAGGCTTCAGCTAAAGATGCGAGGGGGAGAAAATCATATTAAAAGGTGATCATTTTGGACGTGGGCTACAACTGAACAGCAAATGCCCTTTATTTTGCAAAGTTTCACTTGGGGGGAGGGAGGCAAAGAAGGAGAAAGCACTAATTGAATAAGTCTGACGAAAAGCATAAGGGCAGGAGAGGTGTTTGAGGCCTGCATAGGTACACTTCACCAGAAATAAAAAGGACAGAGCAAGACAAGCTGAGAAGTTGTTTAATTAAACATAAATGCAGAGGAAAAATATAAATGCATTGACATTAATATAGGAGCAGTCTCTCCGTTGTAATAGAGAGAGAGATTACAGAGAGATTATTTCAGTTTTGCAGACTGCACTGACAGAGAAGTCTTTCGAGCATGGCCACGCACCCACAGCACATTTCGGGATGATACATATTGAAAATAAGTCGACAGATTCTCCTGTTTTGATTTTTGTTGTGGTTCATTAACTCAGTTATGATTAGGCACTCATAAGAAGTGTCGTTAGGACACGGATGCATGTTTAATACAGCTGGATGCTATGTCATTGTGTAAAATATGCCTTAATTCAGGATATGGACAGTTAGCTGCTTTTAGGGAAAAAATGCCCAACATTACTGCAGGACAAATCGGTTTTCAGCCCTCATCCCGAGGATAAATCAACTAGCTAAATGTTTCCTGATTTCTTACAGAAGTTACTTTGCCTAAGTTTTTAATTTAAACCCTTTCACTCTCTTAAAAAGTTGCTGCAAGTGCCTGCACTGCCATGCGATGCCCTATTTAGGTGCTAACAGGACAGCGAGGAGCTCACAGATCTCCAGCTTCGGCGAAATTGTCAAAAAAGGATCATTCCTGTGTTTTTTAGCAAGAGTTGCTTATTTTCCAGCTCTAACATTTTGATGTTAAGCCAAAAAGCTGTAAATATCTTGAGTACATTTGCAGATTTTATACTGTTTAAAAATCCAATTTCAGAAATTATTATCATGGTTTGGAGGGAAGGAGGACAGGGGTTAACAAACGATTTTACCAATGTGTGAAATTAAAAAGACCTATAGCTCCACTTCTACATTTCATTACTTATACCTTCGGTACAAATAACCACACTTATTTTTCCCTCCGGATTTATAAATCACATCTTTCACTATTTGGTAGGTATTCTAGCCCTTTCGCCATCATTATCTGATAATATTAAGAGCAAAATCTTTCATTAGCTCCAATAGTTTGCAGTTGGATGAGTTCCAACTCCTGCCTGCACAGCTACACAATTAAAAATTAGGACATAGCACCCTATACGATCAGAAAGTAAATAACTGGAAGCAGTACTCTGCTAGCCGATCAAAAAAAGCAAATTTTAAAGTCTTAATTATGAATGAAAAAGCAAGTGATTTAGCTGGAACCCTAACTCGTAGGGCTAACTCTTAATGTACATCGGAGGTCCTCGGTTCTGAGCAGCATGTTTCCCAATGAGAAAGGTCATTCCTCACAGACAGTGTATAAAGGAAAAGTACCATCCACAGCAGACCCCAGAACTCAGACAAGCCACACTTTAAAAGCACATCGCAGAAAAAAAAAAAAAAAAGAAAAGAAAGGAAGAAAAAAAAGAGAAAAATCCTAAGCTTCAGAGAACAGCACATTTGTGTTTACAGACCTGCTATGAAATCCTGCTCACCTAAGCTGATTTCTTTTCATCTCAGATCTCTCATTCCTTGCCTCCTCCCCACGAAGTCACAAAATATTAGCAAACTCGTAGCCCGTTTGACATTGAGGGCGATCCCCGATTGAAAGAATGGTTTTGACCAGTTTTATTTCAAGTACGTCATTTTAGGGAGTTGGAGCCACTAAAGTTATAAAATATGGCATCCAACGAGTTTGAAAAACCACTCGAATTTCATCCACCAGCCTGCTTAAAACGTTGTCTTTTTTGGAAACCCGGGTCACGTAGGTACCAGTGATGAAATATTTTCTCCCTCTCTGGATACCAACCTGCAGCGCAGTCCTCCCAAATCCATTTTGTGCATTGACGTTTACATTCTTTTGCAACAAATTAGTAAGTTGCACTAGGTCCCCCTTGGCAGCCGCGGACGCCAGCTCGTTCCCAGAAGGCTCGGCCATTCTTTAGGGTGACTGACGATCGGAAAAAAGATGAAATTTTTTTTTTTTTTTTAACCAGGCATGGCATCGGAGACTGACAGAAGGATTGGGATGGTTAATCTTCTGGAGTAGACCTTGTAGTAAATACTAGTAAAAAACCTCCTTGCCAAGACCCCGCCCCTAACTCACACGTGATTATTCAGCAAAACTGCAGCTCCACTTGAAGGAAGATTTCTTTGCTTCCACATATAGAGTAACTCTTATTAAAGACTTTGGCCACTTTCGCGGGGGGTAAATAGATTAACAGCTCTGCAATATACTGTATATGTTATAGGTAATATATATACACGTACACCGGAGACTCACTCAGACCTGAGATCTCGGAAGAAGAAGACAACCCACCCTGTTCACAGTCGGGATCTGAGACTTAGCAGCAGCAGCAGCAGCTCCGAGGAAAGGTCTCCTGTAGCAGTGTGCATCCAACTCCCGCTCGGGATCCCCCCTTCATCCCACTCCGTCGCCTTAGTCCGGGCCCATCAGGGAAGGGAAGGATGAGCGGCGCCCGCGGAGGGCCGGGCGCGGCGGCAGCGGCTGTCCCGCCGCCCAGCTCGCTCCCTCGGTGCTCTCGCTCCCCGCAGCAGCAGCAGCTTCACTCCCGCGGCCCCGCGCAGTCTCCGCGCAGCGGGCGGGCGCGATCCCGGCCGGCGGCCGCCCCCGGCGGCGGCGGCTCCGGAGCATCCAGCAGAGCGGCGGGCGGCGCGGGGGAGGCTGCCGCGAACCGCCGCCCGCGCTCGGGGCGCGCAGGAGCCGCGGCGCGGGGCTGTGTGTCCGCCGGGCTCCGCCGGGGTCCCGCCGCCGCTGTCCGCGCTCCGCCGGGCGCTCCCGGGCGGCGGCCGCTCCTCCCGGAGCTCCGGGCGGGGGCAGGGGCCGCGCTGGTGCCGCCGCTGCCCCGGCCTGGCCGCGCTTGCAGCCGCAGTGACAGCCCCGCTCGCCTCCTCTTCCAACTTCGCGAAATAAAGCTGCACTTGCCGGTCCCGCGGCCGCCGCCTCCGCCCGCGGCTTTGCGTTCCCCCTTTTTTAAGCACAAACAATCGCTACTTCTGTTTCCTAAGGACACGAAGCCGGTTTCTCTCTCCTTTTTTTTTTTTTTTTTTTTTCCCCCTCTACCCCCCCTTTTTTTTTTTAACCTCATCAGCTTTTTTTGAAAAGAAAAAAAATTTGAGCGCTTTTTGAGTTGAAACACCCGCCCACATTTTAACGGCACAGATTTAAGGAGGCGCGGCGGAGTTCGGGCAGGAAGGCCTGCAGCGGCTCCCGCCCGCCCCTCGCCCGGCCCCGCCGCCTCAGCCCCGCGGCGCCCGGTGCCGTCCCCTCACCGCTCAGCCCCCGCTCGGCGCTGTCCCGCCACAGCCACCGCGGCTCCGCTGCTTTTACCAGGAGCGCTGCCGAGGCCTAGTGGGGTGGGGGAAATGAAAGGAAAAGGAGGTTTTAGTGCTGGGAGCCGCCGCGCCCCGGCGGGAGGACCGGGATCGGGGGAGCTCGGCGGGCGGCAGGGCGGCCTCGGCCGCGGCGCTTCCCCACGGAGGGCTCCACCTGCCCGCGGGGGGAGCGGAGCCGGCCCCAGCCCCGGTCTCGGTCCCGGACCCACCGCCCTCGCTCGGCGCCCCGCGGGGCAACGGCTCCGCGCTCGGGGCTGCCCCGGCGGCTGCGCGGGCTCCGCTCCCCGAGGACAAGGTCAAGGATGAAGGGTCAATGTCAAGTTTGTCTTAACGGTGGAAAGGCGACCGTGCACGGCGGCAGTCCCTGCTTCCCGCGTTTCTGGTGTCCTTGATTGATTTGAAAGTGCCATTTTGAGGGGAAAAACGCGCCGGGGCGCCGAGGAGACGCGAGGGCTTCGCTTTTCCTTCCCCGGGGCGAAGAAGCGAGGATGGTACAGTACGGGGATGTCACCGCCACTCTGCCTAACAGTATTTAGTGTCTTAAAGTGCTTTGATGGCCGGATTGCTTTAGGTTTCAGGGACCCTCGGAGGACTGAATTCTGCCAGGCGAACCCTCCGAGAGGTAAGCTGCAATGTCATGGCTCCCTGATAAGCACACGTAACCCTTCGGTCACAGCCTGCACGTCTGTTTTCTGCGTGGACGCCACGGGAAAATGATTTTGAATGTAAACAGGCCTGAGGCAGCTCGGGGAGGTGCGTTAGGGACGGAACCTGTGGCAGTCACATCTCTTCCAGCACTGCCCTGCGGGGGGAACCTGCCGCTGGCAGCCGGGCAGGGGCTGGAGGTGGCCGGGGCCCGAGTCGGGGCCACTGTCCTCAGATAGAGCCGGTTCTGCAGGGACGGACCTGCAGCTGAGCGAAGCCAGTATGACTTCTGCATCTGGCTCTCCTCTCAGCGTCAGTTGCTTTTTGTCTCGCAATTAAATTATTTCTGTACTGATTCCCCCACCCACGCTTGTTTGTGAATATACAGAGGTGACAAGTGTGAGCTGCCTACACACGGAGCAGGGAAAGCAACTTTGTTCAGTTTATCAACCAAGCCCCCACTTGCACTCCCATTAAAGGCCCGTGTATTTTTAAAGGCCTCACCTTGTTTAATTATCGTCCTGAAGTAGCAGCGCTTTTCCTTCTTTATTTTTACAGTTTTGTAAGCAAAAATATGAATTATAATTTCCCTCAAAGTTAGCTCTAGAAATATATATACTCAAGTATAATTTATTTATTCAAATATAGTTGCTTTTCTGCATAAGGAAGGAATTTATATGCAAAACTTCGATTATTCACTCAGATGGCTTCTAAGTGACTTTATTTTGTGACTAATCACTACCTGAAATCCACAGGCTGTGGTGGTGTTACCTGTTCCTAAATTACTGAAAATTAGATCTGCAAGTCTTGCAACAATCTCATTTTTTGTTGGTTTACAGTTCAGAATAAAGCTCCCATCTTTTGTTAATCACACCACATAGCAAAAATAAGTAAAGTGTAGCTGGAGTGCTGCAGGCCTCCTGCAAGCAAAGCTGCTCGGCCAGAAAATGCCTTCAAGCCTCCTCTACCGTAGGGGTCTGTCAAACGTCTTTGCAGAAAGTAGCTTGTTAGTCCTGATCGTTTCGTTTTGTCTCATGAATGACAAAGATACTCCCCCTAAAACAAAAGCAATTGTCCCAGTCGGCTGCAGAATCATCAGAAAAAAACACCTTCTGGAGGGAGATCTTATCGGTGAGCATTACAACGAGTAAGATAAGCAGCTCCCTAATTTGTCTAACACTCTTTGAAGAACAAAACACAGCTAGAGTGGCTCGGAGAGAGGGGTTGTGAGAAGGTGACAAAGCGAATAGAAACTTTCGCTGTGACTTGAACGTGAACTTCCTGCGACGTGGGGCATGTGCAGGTTTTTGCCTTCACGTTCTGGATCAAATCCTTCCTGTTTTGATCTAATATAGATATCATTATTTAAAATAGGACTGTAATAGACGTGAACGTCGTGTAACTAATCTTGACAACATACCTATAGCTTCACTTCGTGCCAGGAATTAATTGGACTTACTCCAGTTGCTAAAACTTGCTTTTCAGCCTTTATTGTAGTTACTCTCTAGTAATGTGTGGGTGGATTTGTTTGTAGTTTAGCATAGGCTTCTCTGGCATTGCACCATACCCTGTACTTATTACAGAACTGTCTGTAACATCGAACTGGGGAAAAAAAAAAAAAGTGCAGGTGTGAGGGCAAATTAATTTATCATCCCTCCGGTCGGCAGTGGGGAGCTCGAATTGTAAAGCTAACGTCAGCGGGCAATAAAACCCTCTTGGCAAGCCCTGCCAACATAAACTAGACCAGCAACACAATAAAATAAAATAAAATAAAAAAAAAACAGCTCCTCTGACACCGTGGCTTTGCATCTCAAGTGGCGTTTTCAGTGTGGCGCCCGCCCGCCCGGGGACCCGCAACCCCGCCGCCAGACGCGCAGCCCTGGAGCCCACGCTCCCCAGCAGCACCCGCAGACAGGTTCTGAGCGATTCCCAGGGTTTTTCCTTGGCAACACGGACTCTCCTGAAGGTACAGTTTAACTTTTCATCCCGCCCTGTCCGCGCTCAAGCGTGTGTCCGCGGTTGCTCCCCCCGATGGGCTCCCCCCGCAGCTCTGCCCGGAGCCAGTCTGGCTGCGGCGGCAGGGAGCTCACAAGGGTGCGGGGAAACTCGCCTGTAACCCTACAAAAACCCAATAAAGAACAGTGTTCCCTAAAGCCGTTGAACTCTCTTGATTCAAAGGTATCATCGTGTAGCTTTATTAGCTGATAGGAAAGCTTCTTGATGCCTCTGTGACCTCAAGATAGTTGAGACACTCACAGGACACTCCTACAAAAAGCACAGCAAAACATGTTGGACTAATTAGCAAATTGGCGTCCAAATGCCAATGTCAGCAGGGAGGTAGGTGAACTGCATCAGGTTGTAGAAGGCAGACTTAGCATTAATTACAGTTAGATTTGCGTTACTTAAAGCATATTTATTTGCGGTATATAATAGAATTTCAGCTTACATCATCATGGCTAGGCTTCGCGAACCAAGATTTGAGAGGGGTTCTACCCACGCTTGCTACAAGCGCGCTGATGGCTAAAAAGGCCAATGTGAGATAGACAAGTCCGGTTGCAGAACGTACAGCAGAAAGACTCCCCAGGTGATATCGACAAGACGCGATTCTTTCTGCGCTGTCTTTTCTCCTCGAGAGCGATCCTGCGTGTGTTCTCAAAAGCAGCAGCAGCGTTATAGATGGTGTGTCTCCAGGCCTCCCGGTTGGAGGCCAGGGTAGACCAATGGTTGTGGTCAATATTGCCAAGGCTGAGGGACTGTTTCAGGCAGTCCTTGTATCTCCTCTTCGGGCCTCCTCTCTTGTGGCAGCCAGTGGCAAGTTCCCCATAAAGAACGATCTTAGGGAGGCGATGGTCCTGCATCCTGGAGACGTGCCCTGCCCAGTGCAGCTGAGTTCTCAGCAGCATGGCCTCAATGCTTGGGACTGCTGCCTGCTCAAGGACAGACGTGTTGGTCACGTAGTCAGTCCAGTGGATGTTAAGGATTGTACGGAGGCAGCGCTGATGGAAGCGTTCTAAGAGACGCAAGTGGTGCTGGAGTGGTAAGCTTTAGCGAGGGCCGCTGTGCAGATCACGGGTCCGTTGGCTCAGAAACCCGTGGAAAAACGCACTTCCTTCTTTTGAGACCAGTCGGAACACGGCGAGGGGAAAACCAGCGCTGTACCCAGCCCCGGCCCTCTGCGCGCCCCACGCCCGGAGGCCGGGTCACTCGGCGGGCACAATGGTACGGGCTGTCGCGGGGGACGGGGACCGAATCGCTGCATTCACCGACGGCATCGCGGATGGATGGAGCGAGGGAGCGAGACAGGGATGGAGGGACAGACGGATGGATGGATGCAGGAGGGGATGGACGGACGGATGGATGGGGGAGGCAAGGCCGCCCTCCGGCCCTTGTTTCCCCGCACCGCCCGGGGATGGCCGCAGCCAGGTCCCCGCCGACCTGCTTAGGCCGCACTTGGAGCCCAGCCGGGACACCCCGCGCCGCCGCCGGGCCCGCGGAGCCGCCAACCAGCGGGGTGG